AAATAATTCGAAAAACTAGCACAAGAATTATCCTTGTGTTTTGATTAATAGTGAATACATGTACTTTGAAAAACATTCTTTACTGGCGTGTTTGTTATGTTTTGATAAACAACTTTTATTTTTTTTTCAGACGTCTAAGCGATTTAACAATTGCGGTTGTCTAATTTTTTCACTTAGTATCTTTTAACTTTTATCTTGTCTAAATTTTTTATTTAGAACGAATGCATTATCAACTTTCAATAGTTGTGCAATTACAAAACATAGACAAAATGTACTTTCGTTCGGTCTTTTTCGTACTTGAAAGATATTGGACAGCAAAAAGCTATTTGGACCAAGCCTTTTGAAATTTGAATTTACTTATGAAATAGGAAACTGAATAGTTAGGTGTATATCGGAAATTGGAACTTTTCTGCTAACTACTATACTCGAAAAACCCTTGGCAGCAAAAACGTATTCATGATTATGCACCGACTATTCTTCCTTTTTTGAGTGTGTGTGTGTTGTTTTTTTTTCTCTCACGCACATACATGAACATTACTTTTTTATATATTTAAATCACCACTGGAAGGTCTCTGACAGACTGAGTGAGCGTAAAATCATTGTTATCGATAGCCGATGACAAACAAGTTAAAGGTAAATGATTCAGTATTATTAACATCATAAGTTTTACGGTTGTCCACACTGTTACGGGAATACTTCTAGTGTAAATATCTATTAGGAGTAGACTGACATGTATGTTGACTGAAAAAAATAAAATGACAAAAATACAGAACTCCAAGAAATATTCCAAACGGAAAGTCCATTATAAAATGGCAAAATCGGAAGCTCAAAACACATCAAACGAATGAAAAACAACTGTCATATTCCTGACTTGGTACGGGCGTTTCCTTATGTAGGAAATGGAGGATTTAACCTGGTTTTTTAGCTAGCTAAACGTCTCACTTGTATGCCAGTCATATGATTGACAACAATGTGTGAGCAAAACAAACAGACATAATAGGTAAAAATGTCAGAAATTGGGGTACAACAGTTCACATGGTGTTATAATCTTAATCACTATAAAAACAAATAAATATTTCAACAAAGAAAAACAAAACGGCATATAGACAAAGTACATAAGCAAAAATGAAAGACAAGAATGATTTGTAGTTCGTGTCCAGCTAATAACTATAGCTATTTACATTTTCTCTCCTTCTACCGTAGTTTACTCATATAAGGCGTCGACTGCTAATTTTGGTCATGTTGACTTAATAGTAGACCTTGTCCTGTTGATAAATTTTGCTGTATACAGTTTCTTTCAATCAACTAAAGTTTCTGCTCAAAACACAAAAACGAGTAAAAATGTGTCTTTCAAGGCAAATATCTCATGAATCAACAGACGAGTTTGGCCAGGTTGACTGATTTGTAGTTCATGTCTTGCTGATATTTTTTTTAACGCATTACAGTTTCTCTCCATCCACTATAGTTTACGCAAAAATTACAGAAAATAGTCAAAAATCGTCATTCAAGGGCATTACTTCAATAATGAGTCAACTGACAATTTCAGTCAGTTTGCCTTAATAGTAGATCTTGTCCTGCTGGTCATTGTTTCCTTATACAGCTTCTCCCTTCCTACTTAAGATTTCCGAAAAATTGAATTTATCTCTTTTATTTTCTGAAATATAACTGATTGAATTCTTTCAAAATATGTGAACATTTGTAAAGAAAGCACATAAAATCGTTGAAAAACATTTTTAAATTTTTTTTAAAAATCATCATTTTCCCCTGATTTTTTTTATTTGATTAGGTAGGTAAATCATGTTTTTAAATAGCCCGATAGATGGTTATTATAGTACACGAAAATACGTCATATCATCTATTTTCATACCTTGAACAGGTATTCCTACAATGAACAAGGCCAAAACTGATTTTTTGAACGCCCCTGAGGTGCATGAAAATATGAATTATCAACTAATAGATATTCAAAATTAGTTTTGTATTAAAAAAACATGTTGCTTCAGTTAGCTTGTTAATGTTGGTAGGTGATTTGTAGCGTACATTTATTTTATAGCTTTGTTCAACTTAAAACTAACAAAATAATAAAAAAGGGGGTTAAATATAAATACAAAACACATTTAATAATCTAATCATCTGGTATAAACCAGCTAATCTGAATCAAGATCGGTCTCTGTTTCAATGTCTATACACGCATTTTCAATAAGAGGGTGCATGTGCTGTCGCCGGGGTGTGTGCGAATTCCTGTATGAGTTTCAGGTTTATATGCTGCATATTTTTGATCCATGTGGACCAACACTCTTTAAATTAAGAAATGTTATCACAATTTAACTTGTTTTATTTTAATTTTTGGTAACGGAATCAACAAATTGACATTTTCGTTACTGTCGCCAAATCTAAAATTAGGTGTTGATCACTAAAAAGTTGCCTCGTTTGTGCATTTCTTTATCCCTCACAGTTACACAGTGTTGACGAATTGGTGATATCTTTCAGGAAAAATAACTTTCATGCGCCAATCTCCCGAAAACGCATGACAGCATACTCCTTAAGGGTTGTCACAAAAAGCAGGTACATGTTCGTTACGCCAACATAAATACGTCGAAATTTTTAACATATATATATATACATGATCAAACTTGAGCTGAAACAGGGTTATAAAATATTGTTGATAAAGTTACTCAAGTCAAGGCAGACATAGTTCTCTGTATTGTAGTTTACGGATTCTGGAAATGTCGGAAGGGACGATATTGGATGTAATTAACTTAGTTATGACATGTTCGTTACTGCTAAAAACTTTTCTCAGTTAAAACTCAGTATATTCCTATCAGCACTGGGTAATTCTTTATGTTATCCTTTCTAGAAAAATACAACGTTTCGATTCGAGAAACTCTAATGGTTTCTTAAATTGAAGGTCTTCAGTATACTTGAAATGTACGTTACTGAAAAATTCGTTACCTAGGATACGAAACAGACTCATGAACGTGATAGCTTTACATAAAAGTATGTGATGCTGGATGACTTGACTGCCGCCATATATTTAAAACGACAAAAGTTTCATTCATTTATAAACTTTTGACAGGAGAAGGATCCACATTTATAAGGTACGTTTACATTTTACATTATCACGCATTTCTTATAATGGAATACACAACTATTAAATATTATATCACTTGTTTACATAACAACCTAAACAATATGGTCATACATTGTAATTGACATGGATGTCTTAAAATGTGTAAATAAATGCATTGTAGTTGTGAAATGTTCGTTATATAGAGTAACGAACTTTTTACAATGTATACACATTGAAATAGTTCTTTAACGTTGTCTTAAGACTACCACTATGTCTATTTATCACTTTCCATTTCATAATTGTATGTCAGTTGAATAAATACAAGCACATAACACATTAATAAAAAGTCCCTCACAGTTACACAGTGTTGACGAATTGGTGATATCTTTCAGTAAAAATAACTTTCATGCGCCAATCTCCCGAAAACGCATGACAGCATACTCCTTAAGGGTTGTCACAAAAAGCAGGTACATGTTCGTTACGCCAACATAAATACGTCGAAATTTTTAACATATATATATATACATGATCAAACTTGAGCTGAAACAGGGTTATAAAATATTGTTGATAAAGTTACTCAAGTCAAGGCAGACATAGTTCTCTGTATTGTAGTTTACGGATTCTGGAAATGTCGGAAGGGACGATATTGGATGTAATTAACTTAGCTATGACATGTTCGTTACTGCTAAAAACTTTTCTCAGTTAAAACTCAGTATATTCCTATCAGCACTGGGTAATTCTTTATGTTATCCTTTCTAGAAAAATACAACGTTTCGATTCGAGAAACTCTAATGGTTTCTTAAATTGAAGGTCTTCAGTATACTTGAAATGTACGTTACTGAAAAATTCGTTACCTAGGATACGAAACAGACTCATGAACGTGATAGCTTTACATAAAAGTATGTGATGCTGGATGACTTGACTGCCGCCATATATTTAAAACGACAAAAGTTTCATTCATTTATAAACTTTTGACAGGAGAAGGATCCACATTTATAAGGTACGTTTACATTTTACATTATCACGCATTTCTTATAATGGAATACACAACTATTAAATATTATATCACTTGTTTACATAACAACCTAAACAATATGGTCATACATTGTAATTGACATGGATGTCTTAAAATGTGTAAATAAATGCATTGTAGTTGTGAAATGTTCGTTATATAGAGTAACGAACTTTTTACAATGTATACACATTGAAATAGTTCTTTAACGTTGTCTTAAGACTACCACTATGTCTATTTATCACTTTCCATTTCATAATTGTATGTCAGTTGAATAAATACAAGCACATAACACATTAATAAAAAGTCCCTCACAGTTACACAGTGTTGACGAATTGGTGATATCTTTCAGTAAAAATAACTTTCATGCGCCAATCTCCCGAAAACGCATGACAGCATACTCCTTAAGGGTTGTCACAAAAAGCAGGTACATGTTCGTTACGCCAACATAAATACGTCGAAATTTTTAACATATATATATATACATGATCAAACTTGAGCTGAAACAGGGTTATAAAATATTGTTGATAAAGTTACTCAAGTCAAGGCAGACATAGTTCTCTGTATTGTAGTTTACGGATTCTGGAAATGTCGGAAGGGACGATATTGGATGTAATTAACTTAGTTATGACATGTTCGTTACTGCTAAAAACTTTTCTCAGTTAAAACTCAGTATATTCCTATCAGCACTGGGTAATTCTTTATGTTATCCTTTCTAGAAAAATACAACGTTTCGATTCGAGAAACTCTAATGGTTTCTTAAATTGAAGGTCTTCAGTATACTTGAAATGTACGTTACTGAAAAATTCGTTACCTAGGATACGAAACAGACTCATGAACGTGATAGCTTTACATAAAAGTATGTGATGCTGGATGACTTGACTGCCGCCATATATTTAAAACGACAAAAGTTTCATTCATTTATAAACTTTTGACAGGAGAAGGATCCACATTTATAAGGTACGTTTACATTTTACATTATCACGCATTTCTTATAATGGAATACACAACTATTAAATATTATATCACTTGTTTACATAACAACCTAAACAATATGGTCATACATTGTAATTGACATGGATGTCTTAAAATGTGTTAATAAATGACATTGTAGTTGTGAAATGTTCGTTATATAGAGTAACGAACTTTTTACAATGTATACACATTGAAATAGTTCTTTAACGTTGTCTTAAGACTACCACTATGTCTATTTATCACTTTCCATTTCATAATTGTATGTCAGTTGAATAAATACAAGCACATAACACATTAATAAAAAGTCGAATCCTTGAAGAAATTACTAATGTGATGACAGTACTACATTTCCTTTCGTCACGTTTTAGTTTTTGCATTCAAAATGTAGAATTCCCACGTATGTAGTGGTAACGTACATTTCTTCTCTAGTAACGAACATTTCAAAATAATTTTTAGCTTATCTTTTATAAAATTTTGTATCCAAAAATAAATGCTTACTAAAAAAAATATTTATTAAGACTTCAACGACTTTCCGTGGAAGCTTTCGATATATCATTGTACCCGTATCTAAATACAGTTATCTTTCATTTACAGAAATGGTCAAATCGAGGGCCCAGATTCAGAGAGAATACAGACAGCGCCTGAAAGAAAAAAACAATGAAGCTTATCTTCAAAAGGAAAGGGAGAAACGGAAACAAAATTATGAACCTAGTAGTCAATTATCTCGAAGAAAGAGGAGACAAAGAAACGAATATAACAGAGATTACCTAAAACATTATAGAGCAAGAAAAAAAGAGGTATTAGAATTAATCCATGCCAATAACCAGCAGATTGAACCCTCCACAAGTGGATATGAAAGTGGAACATCGTCTGTCATTCCTACTGAAAACCGACTACTGGTCCAAATGAGATTCCAGAAGAAAGCCAATGGTCCGAAAATGAGAATAAGCAAAGAATTAACTAAAATAAAGGCCGAAATGAAAAGTCTACAAGCCAAGCATGAAAATTTAAAGAGGAAGTACAGAACAACTGCGCGCTCTTTGCAACGAGTGAAACGAAAAAAAGTTGACAAAAACACAAGTACACCAAGATCCAAAACTGAACAGCAACTCGATGAAATGAACTTATCAGCTGAACAGAGAAGCAGTGTCAGAAAAGAACTACTTTTTGTTATACAATTTGTAATGAAATTAGATCAGCAGGAGAGGGAACATCGACTCAGGCAAGAATGAGAACTAGGATAGTACGAAACATTGTCTCCGGCAAAACCATGAAAAAGTACAGGATGATTAAGACACTAGCACAAAGAACAGGACTCAGTAGAAATAAACTAGCAAAAGTAGCAACTAAAGACATCAATATCAAAAGGTTATACCGAATCCGAGAGATGGGAAAGCAAAAATACAATGTAACAAGATTTCTAGAGAGGGATGAGAACTCTAGAGTTATGCCAGGAAAGGCAGACTATGTTAAAACAGATGATAAGAAAGTTCAGAAAAGAATCTTGACAGACTACCTTTCAAACTTGTACCATAAATTTATGATGGAGTATCCCACAGTGAAGCTGTCATTTACCACCTTTACACGACTTCGTCCAAAGAATATTCTTCTGACATCATTTATAAGAAGGGACACATGTTTATGTACCAAACACCAAAACATGTCATTTACATTAAAAGCTGTAAAACGATTAGGTATAGACGTTTCTTTGAATGCAGAAAAAGAAGTTGAAAAGCAACAAGAAATTATACAAGACATGACAAATACAGAGGCCAGTGATGTGGTATTTAGTCAGTGGAAAAGAGTTCAAGTAGAAGAAAAGGGCAGAACAAAAATGACAATGAAAGTTGTAGACAGCACAGTTGACAAAAGTGGATTTATAGCTCATGTCGAAAAACAGATGAACGAATTCAAAGATCATGTAACAAGAATACAAACACAATATGCACAAATGAAAGCATTGAAGATAAATCTACCAAAAAATCATTGCATTGTACATATGGACTTTGCCGAAAACTATCAGTGCAAATCCGTGGAAGAGATCCAGTCTGCCTATTGGAATCAGACTAGCGTGACAATACATCCAGTTGTAGTTTACTACAAGGTTGACGGGGATGAGCTGCTCCACAAAAGTATAGTAGTAATCTCAGATGAGATGGGTCACAATTCAGCAACTGTACTATCCATCATCGACCAAATTAAACCAGAAATAAAACAGCTTCTTCTGTAGAATGTATCCATTACTGGACGGATAGTCCGACATCTCAATATCGCAATAAAGCAATATTCAATGCTATTGCGAATCACAGTCTCGATTACGGCATAAAGGCCAAGTGGAACTATTGGGAGGCCGGTCATGGGAAAGGCCCATGCGATGGGATTGAAGGCACTAGTAAACGAATGGCAAACGAAGCGGTGCGTACGGGGAAAGTCGCAATACAAGACCCACATGATTTCTACGCATGGACACAATCGCAATCGTGTAGTTTAAAGAGCATCAAGTTCATCTTCTTACCTAAAGACCGATGTGAAAATAAAACCAAACTTATTTCCGAACAAAAGCTCCGTCCAATTCCAGGTACGATGAAATTACACGCTGTAGCAGAAAAGGGCAATGCTGTAGTTGCTGTTCGTAATACAAGTTGTTATTGCGTAACCTGTTTGTCAGATGAATTTACATGTGAAAATTGGCAGCTGGAAAGAGTTTTGAAGACTGGAACTCAAACGGACGAAACAGCAGAGGCTGCAGATGAAGCCAGGGAAACTTATCCAGACGTGGAATATAGCAGTGCAGATTATGTGGCTGCTATCTACTTAAATAAATGGTACATCGGTCAAATAAAAACAATCGATATTGAAGATAACACCATTGAAATCTCTTTTCTAGAAAAGAAGAAAGCAATGTATCAGTGGCCAAGTAGGTCCGATGTTATTTTGGTTGACCGTAAGGACATTTTGTGCAAGATTTCAAATCCACAAGCCTCCGGGAAATCGAAAAGAATGCTTAAAGTAAACCCCGATGATGTAGCAAAAATTGAGGAACTTTACAGTAATAACAATTGACGTGAGCAGAAGATAATGAAATTTTGAAATGTTCGTTACTTGTTTAAGTTTATTAAAGTTTACATGTTGTTTCATTGAATTGTCTATAATATACTCTCATCACTATCAACTGGAAAGTAAATTTTAACTTTTAGTAGCTATATTTCATTCTGAAATTTACAAGAAAATGCGTTTCTGTATGTTGTCATTACAGTAACGTACATTTCGTTTTGGTTGAAACATCGGGAAGTCCTTAATTTGAGATATATATCAAGTTCATATTATAATGTTGCACTTTGTCATCTTTTTCCCACCATTTCCCAACACTTTCTCTTTCAGAATACAAAAAAAATGTTATTCCATTTTTAACCATTTTTAGAAAATGTTCGTTACTTTCATAAGCCTGCGGTAAATATATGGTTTTTACAAAATACCGACTTTAAGAACTGATTAACTTTCATATTTTGTATACCATGACAATTTGCAGGATGTTTATAACTTTGTCAACACAAAATGTCCATATTATTGACATATTCCGGAATTAAACACAACCCTTTAAATAGTTTTGTCAGGAGTTTTACTCTGTCAAAAGATATGCATTTTTGATTTAGTGAGAAAAGAGTGAAATAGTTTAGCAGTAAGTAATTGTTGCAACGGGAAAGTCATTTACAGCACATGTTAAACGATCAAACCCATCATTCAAACGAGGATATCTGTAAAGTGAAAACACTTGAATATCTATTGGAGTACCTTCAGCGTAACGGACATTTTAAACTAGTTTTAGGACAATATTTTAGCCTGTAGTTGGCGAATCGTGAATCGAAAACCCTTTGTTATTTGTTCAAATGCTCTTATATCGAGCAAGACAACATATCAAGGAAACAAAATCAGCATGGATTGTTGGGTTTGCTTTCCATCAAATTTTCGATAGTAAAATATCGCTAATGCACCCCCTTATTGAAAATGCGTGTATACTGGCATCTTTAAATGCAGCGGAATATCTGTTTGTTTTGGTTTTATATATTCTGTATGTCTGGCATTTCCCATGTACCACAATATCGTAGCTACATGGGCATAGCATCCCATAGTTCGGGCTCCCGCCTTACACTCACAAAACCAACCGTTAACAATAAACAAGTCTAGTCTCTTTTTCTTTGCATGAGATACCATACCACGTAACCTGTCAAGAAGCCTAATAATATCGGACGCATTTAACTGGGATGTTGTTTTCCTCAATCTGGATGTATCTATCTCTGTCCCGATTTTTAAGGTTTTACCGTCTATATGAACCGGACAACATCTTACACCAGTTGGTACTAGAACACCTTGTGTTACAAACACATGTAATATGGCCTTTTCTGGCATCGTAACAAATGGACCCTTTGTTGTGATACAGATGCTACACTTTCTTGATGTTTTACCTACAGTCACGATTGGTAGTGTAATTGATTTGTTCTGTGGTGTTGTTTTATTTTCTGATGACTAAGGTACTGGTACAGGGACGGTGGTAACAATGTCAGTACTAGTATCTACACACTTGGTGGATTGGCGATAATTAAAATTGCTGTCTACATTTGTTACATATAATACCATTTTCAAAAACGTTCTTCTTCAAGGTTTCGAAAAATTGTTTTTGTTGTTTTGAAATTTTTCTCCTATGGCCTTTTTTCGTTATGTGTATATTAGACACACAACATTTGGGCTTCATTGCTATATAATCAATTCTCGTGTTATTGGTTATGTACAAGCACCTACTTCAGTTTGACGGCAATTGTTCCTTGTATATATATATATAATAAATGTAAACACAGGAATAGGGAGTAAGTCAAGAGTATGGATAGTAATAGGAACGCACACAATAAGCAACACATTATTTTTTTTCTTTAATGAAATGATATATAATAGTCAAAATGATCCATAATTACTCTATGAATTAAACAAACAGCCGAAAAAATATGATAGAAACATTACAATTTAATATTTCAACCACAAAAAATGCAAAAATCTGCACGAGATTTGAACCCCTTCTTACAAGCAGACTATCATTCACAGTTCTATGCGCTACCGATGGAGCCACAGCGACTCTTGAAATCAGTTTTGTTATTAAGCTTCTATATAGGTACAATTTAGTGATGTTCCATTTTTTTTTTATTAAAAAAGTTGTTTTATAGGTATTAAGGACACACTAAACCAATTTCATTTTTGAGGAAAAAAGTTACATAAATTACAACAACAACAAAAAACATAACTTTGTTTTGGTTTGAAATGTCCTTCTCGGGGGATTCCCTGTTTATCCCACCTAAAAACACGGTAAATTCCGCATATTTGACTTTAATCTTTTGTGGGGCGTTAGATTAACTATTTTTCTGACATATCATAATAAATTAAAATCGAGATATTGATCAAAAAAAAGTTTTATTTCTTGTTTTTTATCGTAAATTTTATTCTTTCAGCACTTTTTGAAATTGGCCCTTATGTGAAAAAAAATCAGGGGAAATTGGCCCTACCTCTTTCCAATTTGTAATACATATCTTGTTAGTACAAAAATTTCCGTTTTTATGATGTAAAATAATAATAGGGTCACTTCGTTTGTACTGTATACACCATTCAAAGTGGTGTACTAGGGGAAAAATACCAAAAAAACTTCGAAATATTTAAAATAAATCGTAACGTTATCGCGTTGTAGGCCGTTTAACGTCGATTGTTTTACGTTTTTTACTACCAACAAGGTAACAGATTGGTAAATACACAAAAAATGAAGTCGGTGACCATATGATTATTTCATATTATTAAAACGGAAATTTTTGTACCAACAACATATGTTTTTTTAAGAAAAATGTAAATATTAAAAATTTACCTTAAGAACAGGAGGTAAATTTAACATTTTCAATATGTAGAAGCTATGTAATTACCCACACAAACAAGTCAAATACTAAGAATGAGCAAAGAGTAGAAAACTCATTTGTCAGTTCTCAAAGAACTTGTCAAGATTCATAATTATTAAAATGATAGGTCAACTTTAACATACGATCATGATTTTTTTAGCTACATGATACACAATTAAACAATAAAAATCAGCTCAATATTTGTTAGATACAATTAGTTGTCATTTGAACTACCATGATGTTTCTATATGTTTAAATGGCTTAACTTTGAATCATGACAATGTATGCGAATAAAAAGAGATTATGTGGGGTATACGTTAATGAGACAACAGACCAGCGACACGAAAAAGCAATAAAACATCTAGAGTTCAACATACAATTTTCGTCAGAAGACAAGTTACCGTTTATACAAAATTTCCCGATCACTAAAGTCCAGAATGTTAAATGACTAAAAAAAACATTTATGACTATAAAAGGGCAAACTCTGACAAGGTTCCTGTTTCGGGGGAAAGGGCATGCGTGATTGAGGTCAGTGTTGTGTTAAATTGACCGAATAGTTTCAGATGGGGTAGAAGAGAATTTTGATTTAAAAATAAATAACGGTGACAGAAGACACACGAACATATCTGAAATGGTGACATTAACCCTTCTGACCATGTTCGTTAAAATTGGCCAAAATAAAACCCAAACCTTTTTATACACTATTACGATTTAACGTTATGCATCGACTACTTTCAATTTGAAATGTCAAACGACAAAAACGAATGAACGTCGAAACGAATAGAACAAAAAAAAAAAAAAAAAAATTAAGTAGAGCTTAAGTGTATGGTCTGCAAAAATATCTTCATAAATGTCAAGACAAGATTGGTTCAGATATCTTATTTCCGCTCATTTATATAAAAACCGATATGAGAACGAACAATAATAATCCGTATTTTACAAGTGAACAACAAAATGCGAAAAGGAATAAATTTTATAAACGGGAAATGATTTATAGAAACAGTACTGATGATTAATTAACTCAAGTTATAGCACCTGCTACGGATAAATTGTCGTCGAAGGACGGTCAGGTTGTCGACCTACACGTTTTATGTGAAGAAAACATCTTTTAAAAAAGAAAAGAAGAGAAAACAATAAGCGGACCTAAAAAAACAAAAAGAGAAACGTTGACGAATCAGAAAACAATGTGAGCAAAGAAGAACTGGCTAAACTAAGTGCCGGAAATAAAACTCTGCATACATTAAGTGCTGGAAATGGCTCTCTAATTAAGATACCAAAGGCAAAGCTGAAAAAAAAAACACAA